TAGTAACATACAAACATATATTCATTCCTACAAAGACATAAATAAACACAGACTGAAGCAAGTAAACTGCTGATTTAAGAGACAGTCACCTACTTGAAGTCCAAAGGTCATTCTAAGGTGTTGGTTGCCCTGGAGTTGTTGTAAATCACATAAGTTTACTATAAAATGCACCTTTCTAAAGTATACAGTTTGCTGGTTTTAGTATATTTACAGCTGTACAGCCATTACTACTATCCAATTGTAGGACATTTTTATCACTCCAAAAAGAAACCCTGAACCCATTAACAATCACTGTGGACTTGCCTATTCTGAGCATGTCATGTGAGTAGAATTGTGTAATAATGGTCTTTGTGTCTGGCTGCTTTTTTACTTTCACTTACATTTTTTTAGTACTTATCAGTATTATTTAAAAAAATTCTAACTGTGAGTTAATAAGTCACTAAGGCAACTCTGGCAGCATCAATTCCTATAGGAACAAACCAAAGCCTGGTATTCAAATAGTAAGTTGAAACTAGAAACTGTACCACTCAGAAACCACCAACTAAACTCTAATTAGGAATTTTTCACTCTAACTGTTTTTTTTTTTTTTTTTTTTTTTGAGACAGAGTCCCACTGTGTAGCCCTTGTTAGAGTGCCGTGGCATCACAGCAACCTCCAACTCTTGGGCTTAAGCCATTCTCTGGCCTCAGCCTCCCAAGTAGCTGGGACTATAGGTGCCCACCATAATGCCCGGCTATTTTTGTTTTTGTTGTTGTTGCCCGGCTATTTTTTTGTTATTGTTGCAGTTGTCATTATTGCTTTAGCTGGCCCAGGTTTGAACCCACCAGCCTTGGTGTATATGCCTGGCGCTGTAACCACTGTGCTATGGGTGCCACTCACTCTCACTTTTTAATAGTTAATATTTAATAGCTTTAAAATAACTTTTTAAATAAAGATGTTATTTTAAAAAATGGGAAAGCCCTCTTAGCTTTTGGGCTATATAAAAGTTGGTGGTAAGCTGGATATCAGGCCTGTGGGCCATAATGTGCCCATTCCTGATCTAGGCTTGCTTGCCCAAGTAGGGTGGTTGAAGGATGACATAATCACTATCCCTGCACCAGCTTGTGTGTGTGCGGTTTGTCTTTTTTTTTTTTTTTTT